GGTTATCGTTCAGGTATGGTATTTTTTATTAGGGGACTCAACAAGAAATCAACTTAAACCGTTCTCCCATATTGCTATTGAATTCTATACATATCCCACAATAGGATCCGGAGGAATGGCCAAAAAAGTGAAATAATTCAATAAAACTTACTCACTTTTCTCAACGATGGCTGAACCGATTTGAGTGAAACCACTTCCATTTTGTTTAAACTGTTCTCCCATATGACGCTATTGAATTTTATCCTGATCTCACATTGGGTTCCGCACATTTGAGTTTTTCAGTTACAGTGACTATAGACAGTCAAGTTATAGACCGGCCAACGTGAGTTGATGTATCCAAACAAACCGTCAAATCGTATGGAAAATGTTCGTTTTAGATACAACATGGCAGCACATTGACTGGTCTATAAGCATAGAGGTAACTCTAAGACTAGTAGGTCCCGAAGAAACGTGCTCAACTTTTTGGCTCAGCTCTGGTACTATCTTCGGTCCCAAGCTAATCGATGCACCCCTCGAAACATGGGAAAATCCACGAACCCCTCATTTTATCTGTCAAACTTTCATAGCGAATCAAAACAAATATAGTGTCTAGTACTCGAATTTTGACTAGAATGGGGTAAGTTAATCGATTTGCTTTGGACCAATAGGCTAGTAAAGTAGTGAGCAAATTTCATATCGATAGTTTCGTATTGATTGTTGCTATAACTATGGCCGCCTATAACAGTGACAGCTCGTTCGTGTGGTGGTATTGAAAACACGCGAATTTATAAAGCGTGTTGCAAAATGCATGGCACGTGTAATTTGATGTAAAACAGTGTAACCAACTAAATTTTAAAATTTTCCCTTGATTTCAAAAATCTGTAAATATCTGCGAAAAAACTAAAAAGTCTGTAAATGTCTGTAACGAAAAAAATGTCTGTGGAAAAAATAAAAGTCTGTAACTTCACAGACATGTCTGCAAATCTGGCATCTCTGGGTCCAGGTGTGAGAGCTGGTGCTTAGCACGGAAAATAAGATCGACGGGAAACAAATCAAGGAAAAAAAAAATAAACAGCTCTGAACTTCCCTGACTTTTTTAGGCCTTCCAAGACTTCTACAAAGTTCTTGTAAATTTATTTGGTATATATATATATATATTTTTTTTTAATTAGGCAGACATTTTATACAAAAGTTTTATTTTTTTAATAATTTATAGTCAAGTGCTTGTTTTTATCATTAGGGGCGGAGCAAAATTTCTTCACTTCGTAAGCGCCTAGTGAAAATTGACGTCCAAAAATTTCTTAATTCGTTTGGAGATGGCCTAATAAAACTGTTATACGGTTTAAATAGAGAGAGAAGGATTAGTAATTTCCATTTAATTGCACTTCCTTATTTGCTTATCCTTGACAGATACGCGTATTTCGTCTACAATGAGCAGACTACTTCAGTGTCTTGTACTAATACTCGACTGAAGAAGTCTGCACATTGTAGACAAAATACGCTTATCTGTCAAGGATAAGCAAATAAGGTAGTGGAATTAAATGGAAATTACTAATCCTTCTCTCTCTCTCTCTCTCTCTCTGTTTATACAGATATTCCACTAGGACGCTCACATTCATCAGGACTGTTATACGGTTATTTAGCTTAACGACGTGTTCCGGGTATCATCAAAACCATTTGTGAAATAGTTATATCATTTGGGTTATCATTCGTTTATGGTATTTTTTTATTAGAGTGCTGCCCAAATGAAATGAAACTGTGTGTATCTAATAAGCGCATACAATTTTATGTCTGATGAGCACAGAACGTTTTTCAGTGAGAATATTTTTCAAACGTTTGTTTTTGAGTTTAATATATTTTAATTTAATTTTAAAGGCACCCCGATTTCATCTGAAATACATCAAATATCTCATGTTGTATGCTTGTAGCGCAATTTTTTTTTTTTCATATAAGCGCACAGTAATAGATGAGCGTCAAAAAATCCCCTTATGCATTTTGGTGCTCAGCTTTTAGAAGAGAAGTGGCGGCGCCGGTGGTGTAGTGGTAAGCGTGATTACCTCTCACTTCAAAGGGCTTTGGTTCAATCCCGTCGGGATTTTCTGGGGCATAAAATCTCTGATCACGATCTCTGTTTTTTTAAATGATGAAGATTTATTATTTTCTGAGATATGTTTATGGTTTTCTGGATAAGAGATTTAACGCGGGATCTAGCATAAATTTACACGATATTTTGTGTAAATTTAGGCGCGATATCATATAAATCAGCACTGTTGTGTACAAATTTGTAAGCAATTTCGATGTTTATGCCAATTTTAGCACAAAATTAAACCAGGGTAGATTTCACACGATAGGTAACATACAGATTTTTTTCTGTGAGGTATCTGAAAGACAAGATCGCACTTTGAGGGAATTAGCTTACATTTGTTATGCCAAATAATAAATCAGCACCCCAAAATTTACTTAATAGTGACTTTCAGCCAGAAGCATTTTAAATTTTGACGGATTTTTGTATGGAGACCCGCCACTGTGCCTCGATACCCCGCTCAGTATGCAAAACTGGCCGCCACTAGGCCACCGAAACTGACACAGTGTTGGACAAAGTTCTAGAAAAAATATGTTTTCAGTGCGGCACTACTAAGCGCAGCGGTTTTCAAACCTTTTTTTCGATCGATAAAAAAAACTCGCGATTGGTGGGTCGACACATGTTTTAGAGACACCTTTACAATGCGCAATGATCTGAAAACCACATGAATACCTTTAGAACCCATAATACAAAATGCTAAATGGAATTAAATGGAAAATAATCACCTTTTTTCTTTGCTCTTATGAGATTTCCACTAACAACCCAATTCATAACTTTCCTAGAATTTCCGAAACAACAAACAGAAGCAAAAGCAAAGCAAAACAGAACAACAAACAATGCCGAAAGATTGAGAGATCAAATCAAAAAATGACAAATGCCGAACGAATCTTCTTTTTCTTCGCATTTCAAGCTTATTGCATATCGCATATTAGCTTATTGCGTGCTCTCAACTTAGTGTTCTAGATGCACTTCCACAGTTATTAATTGAGAGCTTTCAATGCCTGTGCCATTTTTGCATTGGTATAATTGTGTGGCAAGTCCAATCATACTTCTAAGCCCAGGGAAGTCGAGAAATTTTCCAACCCGAAACATTCCTAGGCCGGACCGGGAATTGAACCCAGCTACCTGCAGCATGGTCTTACTTTGTAGCTGTGCCTTTACCGACTGAGCTAAGGGAGGCCCCTGCCGAACGAATAGAGATATTAAATCAATTGAACACACGACATTGTCAAAAAATCTGAAATAAACTAAAGAAATTCCAGAAAATACATCGCATTAGCTTATACATTTGGGCCAATACGGCTTAATAATCTCTAAATAAATTTGAAAATGACCTTAAAATGACGGATCATGACCTACAATCGCCAAAATGAGAGTCAATAAATGGCCTAGAATCGCTAGAAGGGTCATAAATCACCTAAGTTGGCATACACATAGCAAAAACACTTTGAATTTCAATGTACTGGAATCACCCAAATTTAAAAATACAGCCAAAATGCCAATGCCAAAATTACCTAAATTCACAAAAATGGCCAATAATCTTGAAAACAATACTTGTTCAGTAAGGAAATTAAAACGAAATTACGCAAGCAACACCAAAACCTCGATATAAATGATTCCGATTCATTAGTTATTAATAAATCTGAAGTTACTAATTAGAAACCAGTATAAACTATGAACTTTTAGAGATAGAAAACTGGTTTCTCTAGCAAAGTTGTTTCAAATATGTTTTATACAATTTTGTCGAAAATTGTGCCCTTCTACCTATATCAGATAAATAAAAAAAAAAGAAGTTCTGAAATCAAAACCATCGGGTTCCCTTATTCCGCTCACCTTAAAAGATTGGCTAAAACAGATGGAAAAACTTTCCCAAAGACACTGTTTACTCAAAACAAATGGTTAAGACGCAAACCATTTTTGGCTTTGAAACAATTTTGCGGTCGGGTCAAATTTTGGAAAACAAAATCAGAAAATTTAGATCTTTGAGGCCTCAGTCATTTAAGATACGGTATTACCAAGGCGAAGGCGGTGGGTTCGGTTCCCAGTCCAGTCTAGAAAATCTTTCGGGTTGGATATTTTCTAGAGCGAAGAGCCTAGTCTGTAGTTTTTAAGATTCTATGACAATTTTTGCCAGAGTTTGAAAAATTTCCAAGATCGCGGATCAAAAACAAAATTACCATTCTTTTTTTTCCCCTCTGTTCGGGATCTAACACTACTGCGACCAGTAAATTGATCTATTGTAGTATATCCCGTGTCATTAGTTTGGTGCATGTCGTATTACTCCATCACTATTGAGAAATGATGAAGTATTCGATTTTTTTACAGTTGCCACTCTTGCATTTATCGCAAGGATCCGACTCTAATTGAAAGGTCCCGCTATTTATACCCTTCGGAGTGTTGAAACACCCTCCAAAGGCGCGCCCCATTGTCAGTCAAAATTGGATTCCTTAGTAACAAAATTAAGGTATGACACCGATAATGACCATGCATCAGAACCCTAGTCTTAACCACTTCAAACTAGGCAACAACGAATAGAAGATTAGGAATCACATACCTAGATGAAGACAACTAACTCATTTTTTTCCTTGTTTCAAGATCATCCTTGGTAGACAAAGCCGAGTTTTGTCACTATCAACAAAGCATAAAAAGTAACAAGGACTAAGATGTGTTCCTTGGATTACTGAAAAATCCTGTTCCCCTAGTTTGAAGTAGTCAGGACTAGGAATCAGTGGTAGATCTTACATCCCGTAACGTACCACGAAAAACTGATCTACCCACGTTACGGGGCATCACCATTCTTAGACTTAACAGTCTTTGACGTTCAATTGGCATTCATCCAGTTCCATTTACAAAAAGTAAAAATGGCTTTTCAAAAACTGACTACCACATTTCCGAGAATTGTTTTATCCATTACCTCCTCCATCTTACCATTTCTTAGAACAAACTGAAACGCGAGGACGCCTTTGCCCGGTTGAACCTGGCCAAAATCAACCAGGAATGGCGCAGCATCCTGCGCAACATCAAATGCAAGGAGCTGAAGAACGAAATCGAACAGGTGGAAAAGATGTGCACCGAGTGCATTGAGAACAAAAATGGCATCATCCGGCGGTTGCTGTGCGATCTGGACGAATCGGAGGAAATCTACTCGACCATGCTGCACGCCCACATGGAGAAGATCGAGAAGCTCATGAACATCCACAACGATCGGTTGCAGTTTCTGAACAAGTTGTACGAGATCGAGAAGAAGGAGATCATCGAAAACTACGACCAGGAGATTGCGCACTACAAGAGCAAGAAGTTCGGACTGCAGAAGGAGTTGGAATGCGTGTTCTACGGGTTGGCGGAACGATCGAGGGTAGATCGAAATCGAGCGGAGGAGGAGCACATGTTGAAGAAGGATGAGCTGAAGAATTCGGTAAGATTTTTTGTTCATGAGAGACATTGCTTTTATTTGCTTGCTTATATAGGGTGATAGAGAGACATTGCATTGATGCTGTGCAGGAGGTGGATCTTAACTCTAGATCAGAATATTATCGTCTCATTTTCCCAATCATTGCAATTGGCCTGTCCACGATCGGCTAGACACGTGACGAATCTCATTGAGTAGTCGCACTTGTCTCGGATCCTATTGTCCATACTGATCATGTGAAAGCATTCCTGAATGGAATCCGTATAGAAATCGCGCAGTTCATAGTCCCTCAAGTCCTTTGTCACAACGTGAAGAACCTTGTGCTTGTCCGGCAAGCCTTCGTTGTTTGTCATCTTCATTTCTTGAAAGAAGCACTGCATCAGGCAAGCTCGATCGCGTTCCATGTTGCTACTACTATTGCTGGTATTGTTTCCACTTGACGGACTCATAAAGTTGTTGCGGTCCCGATTATAGCGATCGTTCTGTTGGTAACCGTAGCCGCCTTGAGCTCCATCATTGTAGTACTGTCTTTTGAATCGCCCATACGGATTCCGTCTATCACCACTTCTTCGTTCCATGGTACCGAAATTGTAGTCCCAATCTCGATCCCTACGCCTTCCTCCATTGTCCTCACGATTCCTTCCGTCTCCCCTGCGATCATCACTATTCCTACCTGTGTCCTGGCCATTGTTTCTATCTTCACCGTTTCGGCCCCGCGTATTCCCCATCTGACCACCACCACCCGACCCTGAACCTGATTGTCGCCTCACGTTCCCTTCAGTGCTTGCTTCTCCTTTATCGTCACTCTCCGAATCCGAGTAGGACGAATCGTAGTTTCCATACCCGTCGTCGTCGTCGTCGTCCTCGCTGGTCTTATTCTTCGTTTCGGTTGTGATCCGTTTCATGCAGGTCCGAATAACCTTCCGCACCTCGTCGCTACTGGGACCGTCTTCGGTGCGGCATTTGAGTGCCCAAGTGCCTTCCAGGAAGCACACCAGAAGAATCACCACTGCCACCAAAGCAGAAAGTGATAATAACCGATGGTTTCCCATGGTTGCACTCTGCTACGCTGCTAATCACGATGAATCATGATCATGGTTATCTGATGATGCGCTTTTGGATTTATGAACTGTACACGGTAACGGTTCGAACGAAGTACATGCTCTAGTTCAACCAGCAGCATTGCTTTTATAGCGATGAACATGCGACGGTCTGATGGACATTTCCGATGAGCGATTCTCGTTGAACATGGAGATGTCAGCTGCATTGTTTGAGCTGGACAGCTACGAATCAACCATGACAAAGCTGACCTTTCCCGGGTTTGTTGAAGGTCGCTAATTGTCTTAATGTAATTCCATTACTCAAATACCCCATACTACACATTTTCTCAACCCCCACCAAACAGATGATCCTGAAGCTGGAGATGATCACCAAGGAGCGCGAGCGGCACATGGAGAAGCTCTGGAAGGAATTCCAAAGGGTCCTGAACGCGTACCTGCGCAACACCGAAGAGTACCGCAATGAGTACAGCAAACTGCGCGACCAGGACGCCAACGATACTCGCCACATCCAGAACCACTACGTCGAGGTGGCCCGACTGAGTGAATTGATATCGAACCTGCGCCAAAAGTTGGTTACCATCAAGGACGAGCACGAGTTCAACGTCAAGCAGCTGCAGAAGACCAAGGTGGAGCAGCAGGAGCGTATCCGGAACATCAAACAGGAGATGGAGATCGGATTGAAGATGGACGGCGATAAACTGAAACAGTTAGCCGTCTGTGGGCACGGCGCATTGAAATATTTGCAAAATTTTCTAAAACGTGGCAATGGGATTCTGCAGATTGCCACGTTCTGCAAGAAGTTCGAAACGGAGAACGAGAGCCTGTTGCCGTTTGTACATAGTGCCGTGAAGCGGCAGATGTTCGAGGTTGACGAGGACGAGCTGAAGGAAGCGACGACGGAGTTTGAAGTGTTTAAGAAGGATACCTTCGGGATTGCGAAGAAGTTTGAAAACTTCTGGATGAGGTTCAACAAAGCACGGGTCGACTGTGCGTGTTTGCAGGAGGAGAAGAAACAACTACTGGAGGAGAACGAACGGTTGAAAAATCAGCTGAAGGAGTATCTGATTACGGTGAATATGAACAACGGAGGATCACTGGAGTCGAACGAAACGCTACTGGCGGAGAGACCGAGCTCTATGAAGGTAGAGAAGGTGATTCATATTGATTTGAAGCTCAAGGCAGTGAGATTCAACAAGGAAGGCAAACGTAGGCCTGTGACTTGCATTGAGGGAAATTTGAGCAATGCAATCAGGAACGATCGACTGAAGGAGATCAGAAGCAGACCGAGTGAGTTGTACTCCTTGATTCAGCAGTCTTCGTCGTAGATTCATCGTGTGCTTGGTTTTGGGCTAAATATTATCACTTTTCAAACGAAACTTTCAATCTGCATCGTCACGTGTTAATGGAATGTAAACTGTATGTTTTATAAAAAAAATCTTAATCGTAAAATATTGCTTCACAATAATGAGTTAGTGGCGGCACCAAACAATAATAATAAAAAAAATACTGAACTTCTTAAACATCTAAACCAATAATTTACTTCCAACAGAAAGAACGTTCCATCTCAAACGAAGGCGTCGGTGGCGGTGGCTGACCTCGAATGACTAAAGCTAGGTCCTACTGGCACTTCAAAATGGCGGAACGTCCTAACGAGGAACAGCCACAATCACCGGTCGGTCGGACGCTACAAACGACTGTGTCCTACGAATCATAAAATCTGGAGCTTTCCGATACGTCGGGGCTATTGCCTGCAAAGAAAAATAGTATTGAATTAAACCGTCCCCCTTCATCGTCTAACCACATTCGTTGACTCACCTGTAGTTTGGCCTCGACTATACCCTTGTTATCCTCGGATAGCTGAATCTTCTGTCGAGCCATATTCAGCTCTCGATCCAGCTTCTTACGTTCGTCTTCCAGCTGTCGAAGTTTCTGTTCCGCCTCCTTGAATCGCTTTTCATTCTCCTGCTGTCTGTGTTCAAACTCGATACGCTTCTGTCGTTCCAGTTCCAACAAAGCCTTCTGCTCCGCTTGCAATTGCTCCAACTCTTCTCGCTTTTCCCATTCCTCCGCTAGTACCCGCGCCTGCAGAGCCCGCACAATCTCCTCGTCCCGTTTGGCCTGAATCTCGTCTTCCAACATGCGCTCTAGACACAGTTTGACATCCTCCAACTCGGCGACCCGGCGGGAATCTTCCCGTGCCACCGCTTTGTACTGTCGTGCCTGAGATTCCGCCGCTAGACGGGCAAGCTTTTCCTGCTCCAACTGCACATTGGTTTCCTCCAGCTGCTTCAGATGAATACTACGCTGGCGTTCTTCCTCCTGGCGCTTCCTTAGCTCCAGTTCCCGTTGCTGCTTCCTTCGGTTGACTGTATCCCGCTGGAAGCCTTCTCGACCCGTGGAGTACGTTATGGCCAACTGTAGGACCGATATCCACTGGAGCCGTGTCTTGTGATCTTGCGCTCCCAATTCATACGTGCGATCACCCGAGACCAAGGTGAACTTTGGAACGCGCTCAGTCTTGCCCGATGACGGTATGAAGGGCTTCACGGTAAATTTCGAATCCAGCGCTATCGTCCCGCACACCTCCCGGTCCGTGTGATGTTTGTAGTACGTCAACTCGCAAGGTTGAAGCACGAAAAAGTACTCCCGAAATGTCGGCAGCACGTAACCCCTCCTGAACAGATAACCCTTCTTGATCACATCCATGATCAGCGTCTGGTAGATATCTCTGATCGCCTCGCATATCGATGCCGCGTAGTCGTTCAACTTAACAAAGTCCTTAAATCTCAGGATGGCCAAGAATTCTCCGAAATCCAGCCCATCATCCCATTTCTTCAAATAGTCATACTTCTCCTCGTTGTTGTAGTCCAGCCCCAGCGAATTCAGCAGTTGCTTGACCACGATCAGCGCTTCCGACGGGTGGATCTTGACCGTGAACTGATTGTCATCGGCGTTGTCGTTGTACAAGTCGGCCATCATGCAGAATATTCTGAACAACTGATAGATGGCTTCCTCCATGAAGTAGGCATCCTTCAGCAGGAAGTCCTTGTGACACACCAACCAGCAGACCTAGAAAAATGCGGCGCTAGTGACGCGTTTGGTTGGCAGATCAGGAAATACTAACCTCATCGATTTTGCCTTCGTAGTTCCGGACGGCGGACAGAGGTAGCTCGTTGGACACAGAGGAGAACACCTCCTGACCGAGGTAGTACAGATAGTGGTCAAAGTTCAGCGTCGGTGTTGACCGGTAGTGATCGAGTCCTCGCTCTACGCCGTACAGATCCAGCAGGGTAGCGATGTTGGCCGTGAGGACCTGGAAAACGGATCGGTTGAGTGAAGTGAATAACTGAAAAGGCTAAGGGTCAATTGCTTCACTTTCGCTTACATTTTAAACCAGGTTTACTCTTATAGTTAAATCTGGATTAAGGCTTAAGCGTGGGTGAAGAAATTGGCCCTGATAATCTACAATGCTATGCAGGAATTCTGTATGACATTTAAAGGAAGCGGAGTCTATCAAAATTAATCGGGTTTCTATCGCAATATAATACTTATGGGTGTTTTAAGCAATGTTTTGTTCTTCAAGACTCTGTTCACAATTTATACGTCTCAAAACAGGGTCTATAGAATATACTCTTAAATACTCTATACGACATAAAACATGAGTCTACGAGACTCTGAACAGAGTGAGTCTACAAGACTCAGAACAGAGTGAGTCTACAAGACTCTGCACAGAGTGAGTCTACAAAACTCTGAACAGAGTGAGTCTACCAGACTCAGGACAGAGTAAGTCCACAAGACTCTAAGCAGAATGAGCCTACAAGACTCTGAACAGAGTGAGTCTACAAGATTCATAACAGAGTGAGCCTACAAGATTCAAAACAGAGTGAGCCTACAAGACTCAGAACAGAGTGAGTCTACAAGTCTCTGAACAGCATGAGTCTACAAGACTCAGAACATAGTGAGTCTACTAGACTCAGGACAGAGTAAGTCTTCTAGACTCAGAACATAGTGAGTTTACAAGACTCTGAACAGAGTGAGTCTACACGACTCTGAAAAGAGTTTATCTACAATACTCAGAACGGAGTGAGTCTACAAGACTCAGAACAGAGTGAGTCTACTAGACTCAGGACAGAGTAAGTCTTCTAGACTCAGAACAGAGTGAGTCTACAAGACTCAGAACAGAATGAGTCTTCAAGACTCTGAACAGAGTGAGTATACAAGACTCTGAACAGAGTGAGTCTACAAGACTCTGAACAGAATGAGTCTTCTAGACTCTGAACAGAGTGAGTCTACAAGACTCTGATCAGAGTGAGTCTACTAGACTCTGAACAGAATGAGTCTACAAGACTCTGAACAGAGTGAGTATACAAGACTCTGAACAGAGTGAGTCTACAAGACTCTGAACAGAATGAGTCTACTAGACTCTGAACAGAGTGAGTCTACAAGACTCTGATCAGAGTGAGTCTACAAGACTCTGAACAGAATGAGTCTACAAGACTCTGAACAGAGTGAGTATACAAGACTCTGAACAGAGTGAGTCTACAAGACTCTGAACAGAATGAGTCTACTAGACTCTGATCAGAGTGAGTCTACAAGACTCTGAACAGAATTAGTCTACAAGACTCTGAACAGAGTGAGTATACAAGACTCTGAGCAGAGTGAGTCTACAAGACTCTGAACAGAATGAGTCTACTAGACTCTGAACAGAGTGAGTCTACAAGACTCTGATCAGAGTGAGTCTACAAGACTCTGAACAGAATGAGTCTACAAGACTCTGAACAGAGTGAGTCTACAAGACTCTGCACAGAATAAGTCTACAAGTCTCTGAATAGAATGAGTCTACAAGACTCTGAACAGAGGGAGTCTACAAGTCTCTGAATAGAGTGAGTCTACAAGACTCTGAACAGAGTGAGTCTACTAGACTAAGGACAGAGTAAGTCTACTAGACTCAGAACAAAGTGAGTCTACAAGACTCTGAACAGAATGAGTCTACAAGACTCTTAACAGAATAAGTCTACAAGACTCTGAACAGAATGAATCTACTAGACTCTGAACAGAATGAGTCTACAAGACTCTGAACAGAGTGAGTATACAAGACTCTGAGCAGAGTGAGTATACAAGACTCTGAACAGAGTGAGTCTACAAGACTCAGAACAGAGTTAGTCTACAAGACTCTGAACAGAGGGAGTCTACAAGTCTCTGAATAGAGTGAGTCTACAAGACTCTGAACAGAGTGAGTCTACTAGACTAAGGACAGAGTAAGTCTACTAGACTCAGAACAAAGTGAGTCTACAAGACTCTGAACAGAATGAGTCTACAAGACTCTTAACAGAATAAGTCTACAAGACTCTGAACAGAATGAATCTACTAGACTCTGAACAGAATGAGTCTACAAGACTCTGAACAGAGTGAGTATACAAGACTCTGAGCAGAGTGAGTATACAAGACTCTGAACAGAGTGAGTCTACAAGACTCTGAACAGAATGAGTCTTCTAGACTCTGAACAGAGTGAGTCTACAAGACTCAGAACAGAGTTAGTCTACAAGACTCAGAACAGAGTGAGTCTACAAGACTCTGAACAAAGTGAGTCAATAAGACTCAGAACAGAGGGAGTCCACAATACTCAGAACAGAGGGAGTCCACAAGACTCTGAACAGAGTGAGTTTACAAGACTCTGAACAGAGTAAGTCTACTAGACTCAGAACAGAGTTAGTCTACAAGACTTTGAACAGAGTGAATCTACAGGACTCTGAACAGAGTGAGTCTACAAGACTCAGAACAGAGTGAGTATACAAGACTCTGAACAGAGTGAGTCTACAAGACTATGAACATAATGAGTCTACTATACTCAGAACATAGTGAGTTTACAATACTCTGAACAGCGTGAGTCTACATGATTCAAAACAGAGTGAGTCTACAAGACTCAGAACAGAGTGAGTCTACTAGACTCAGGACAGAGTAAGTCTTCTAGACTCAGAACAGAGGGAGTCTACAAGACTCTGAACAGAATGAGTCTACTAGACTCTGAACAGAGTGAGTATACAAGACTCTGAACAGAGTGAGTCTACAAGACTCTGAACAGAATGAGTCTTCTAGACTCTGAACAGAGTGAGTATACAAGACTCTGAACAGAGTGAGTCTACAAGACTCTGAACAGAATGAGTCTACTAGACTCTGAACAGAGTGAGTCTACAAGACTCTGATCAGAGTGAGTCTACAAGACTCTGAACAGAATGAGTCTACAAGACTCTGAACAGAGTGAGTCTACAAGACTCTGAACAGAGTGAGTCTACAAGACTCTGAACAGAATGAGTCTACTAGACTCTGATCAGAGTGAGTCTACAAGACTCTGAACAGAATTAGTCTACAAGGCTCTGAACAGAGTGAGTATACAAGACTCTGAGCAGAGTGAGTATACAAGACTCTGAACAGAGTGAGTCTACAAGACTCTGAACAGAATGAGTCTTCTAGACTCTGAACAGAGTGAGTCTACAAGACTCAGAACAGAGTGAGTCTACAAGACTTTGAACAGAGTGAATCTACAGGACTCTGAACAGAGTGAGTCTACAAGACTCAGAACAGAGTGAGTATACAAGACTCAGAACAGAGTGAGTCTACAAGACTCTTAACAGAATAAATCTACAAGACTCTGAACAGAATGAGTCTACTAGACTATGAACATAATGAGTCTACTAGACTCAGAACATAGTGAGTTTACAATACTCTGAACAGCGTGAGTCTACATGATTCAAAACAGAGTGAGTCTACAAGACTCAGAACAGAGTGAGTCTACAACATTCTGATCATATAGATTCTGAATATAGTCTACATGACTCTGAATAAAGTCTACAAGGTTCTGAACAAAGTCTACAAGACTGTAAACGGAATCTAAACCACTCTGAACAGAATCTACAGAGAGCAGTTGAGAGCACGCAATAGGCTAATATGCGATAAGCAATAAGTTCGAAATGCGAAGAAGATGAAGAAGAAACATGAAGATGGTCCCATATCTTACCCCTACAAAAGTTTGAGCAGAGGACACTGATCAGAACCAGTGGTTTAAGAGTATATAGGACTTGAACAGAGTGATTCTGAGCGAAGTTTATAAAACACTGAATATAGTCTACAAGATTCCAAATAGAGTCTACTGGATTCTGAAATTTTGAACAGATTCTAAAAGAGTTTTTGCAGAGTCATTCGGAACAGAGTATACAAGACTCTAAATAGAGTCTACAAGATTCTGAACAAAGTTTACAGGATTCAGAACAAACTATGTAAGACTCTAAATAAAGTCTACAGGATTCTGCATATAGTCTAAAAACTGTAACTGCAGAGTCTATAGGACTTAAAACAGAATCTACAAGACTCTGAATAGAGTATAGAAATGTTTTTAAAGAGCCTTCCTCATCGGAATTCACAATACTCTGAATACAGCCTACAGGACTCTGAACAGAGACTAAAATATGAACGAATCTACAAGATTCTGAAAAAAATTGTAAATAGACTCTACAAGACTCTGAACAGAGTCATTCTGAAAGGTCTATCTGAATTATGTCTCCAAAACTCATAAAAGAGTCCACAGAACTTTGAACAGAGTCTCAACATATTTAACAAACCCTACAAGTCCCTGAACAGAGTCTATAAGATTTTGAAAAAAATTGATCGTGTGACTGAACATTATCCAAACATATTCGTTTGGTGCAACATTGGCAATCAAAGAACTCAAATACAAGCGATCATCTGAGGTTTTTTGCATTGACTTAGTGTTTAAGTACTTATAACAGAGTCTACAAAATTCTGGGTAGAGTCGACAGGATTTTCAATATAGTTTACAAGACTCTAAATAGAATCTAAAGAACCTCTCAACACAGGCAACGGTTTCTATATATATATTAGGACTTACTTCAGAATCAATAAGACTCTGAGCAGTTTTATCGAGGTTTTAAAGTTTTTTTTTTAAACTTTGGGCTTGGCTAGTTCATCTCATGAAGAAGGTTTTAAAGCATTCTACAAGCCTAAACCATGGTCTACAGAATCCGAATAAAACCCAAATTGTTACTTGGGTAGAAGTCTATTAAGATAATCATTCGCTCCATTCAGAATAGAGTCTAGAAAATTCTGAAAGGAACCAACAGAATCTACAAGACTCTGAGCAGCGTCTACAAGAATTCAAACAGAGTCGTTCTGAACGGAGTCTACACAACTCTGGACAAATTACACAAAACTAGGAACAGTCTACAAGAGCTTAGACACACATGCACATACAAATTAAATGTTTTACTCCAATCCAACTTACCTTAAGTTTTGACTTCCCCACGAATCCGGAGCAGTCCTGCTGTAGGGCGCGGAACGCATGCCAAATGCTGTTGGTCACGTTCTTCAACAGTGTCGTCATTGCTACAAACGAACGTGCTGCTCTTCTTCTATTGCCGCTATTTTGTTTTCTCACTCTTGGATCACCAACCGCGGTAGAGAGCACAACTTTTCATTTCACTTGTACCACACTACACCAGTAAGGGTTTATCACAGTCTTTGTAATGTATACTGCAAGTTACTCTGCTTTGCATTTACGCCATCATGTTCTATTCGAGCAGAAATGCTTCAATCTGTACTTGTACGCAACTATACCTAGAAGCCTGTAGATATGGGATGGAAAATTCTCACGATTAATAAAACATATTGTTCGATCAGGCTAGCGCCGGACGAGGTAAATTCATTCAAATTCGAACGCGAACGCACTATCGCTGCTTGAACGACCGACGCATCCAAGTCTATACCACAATAAGGCACCTTGGCTAATTTCATTCTTTTCCCATGATTCGCCAGCAGTACAGAAACTTAACTCGCGTGACATATCCAGTCCAGCTCGTTGGTTGGTTGGTTGTTTGGCCGACTGACTGACTTGGTTTGTGTTTGCAAAAGTGTACGACGTTTAGGCCATGCATTATTTGCCTTTTTTTGCGATGAACCGGTGCTACTTCTATTGTTGTTGTTGGTTATGATGGTGTCTACTTACTGACGGCATTGACTTGGTTGGGAATTTCACGTTGCTGGTGTCAACTTTGTATAAACAATGAATATTGTATTACATTTGCTTGCAGATGACTCACAGACAGTGGAGTGACGGGATAGTGTTCAAGCGGTTAGAATGGGAGTATGGAATGTCGTAAATTTACTTAAATGTGACTGATAATGCGAAGTGATATAAAGGGCAAAGGTTGTACCAAAGACTTCACTGGACCTAATTAGAATTGTTTGTTAGAAACAAACATCGTTTGAATAATATATTACAATTAAACTACACAAGTTTTCAAATTTCAAAACTTTGTTCCAGTTTGGTGAATACTTGACTTCCTTAAAACAAAATTAACAAAGCCGTCAGTAAAGGTACCGCACTTCCTTGGACACGGTCATTATTCCTTTCAATATTTTTTGAAAAACTTTCTTATTTTTTAATTATGTTTTTAAAATTTAAAATGGTAAATTTTCAGAAATTTTCAATTGGTTGACAAAAACAGTAAAACAAAAACTTTTGAAGACCACAATGATTGTTAGTTTTACCCGTAACATTAAAAATTGTTACATCGAAACTATTTTACCCAAATTCCCCCTGTATTGCATGGAAATGATTTGACTGTACAGAAAACAAATTTAATTGTCAAAATTATATTTATTAGAATTAATTCGTATTTATCAGAGGAACCGAGTGACATAAGTCTTTTATTGTTTGAAATTTTAGAAAACCTCAAATAAGGTCAGGAGAACCTTCATAGAAGTTCAGAAAAAAAGCTACTCAGAGAACCTCCAGAAAATTCACAGAACCTCGATCATTTGAATTTCATGGATTTGCAAGAAAACATCCAAGAAGCCCAGGGAAACCTTGGAGAAATTTAGTGAACTTCAAAGTATGTCTAGAATTCAAGGGATGTCCAGGGCTTCCAGAAGAACATTCAAGAAATTTAGGATACTTCTAAAAAGTTTGACGAACTTAAGTGAAGCTCAGAAAAGTAACTTCAGCAAAGATCAAGGGAATCTTAGCTAACCTGAAGAATTGGAATAAACCTTAGAGAAGTTCAGCGGTCATTATAGACATTCAGTGAACTTTTGAATAGTGTAAGTAGCCACACAGAAGTTAACGAAAACTCCAGAAAATAATAGTGGGTATTTCGGAAATGATTAGCGAACTGAGAAGCTCGAAAACTTTTAAAAGCTAAAAGAACTTCAAAGAAATTCAAGGGGACCTTAGAAAGACTCAGGGTGCCATCCGGAAGGAACCCCTAATCGAACACAAGAGAAGTTCAGCGATCATTAAAATAGTCCAGGGAACCACAAAAAGACTTAGAGATCCTTAGAAAATAAAAGGAAAACTTCCAGAGAAATTCAAGGAAACTTTGATAAACCTCAGATTTTTAAAGAAATTCAGAGTACTCCACAGCACTTCAGCAAACATCAGTAGACTTAAGAGAAGTTAACAATGTTCAGGAAAGCTCACGGAATTCCAAAGCATCCTAGGTTAACGGTTAACCCAGAAAGACCACAGAGTAGCCCCACCATCCAACCAACTGGGGAGTTTGGTTAAGAGAGATGATCAACCCGATTCGTACCTTCCTCAAAGTTGTCCTTATACAAATTGTTTTTGCACGTGAATTTTCTTTGAAAAACTAGAAAAAAAATGCAATTTTTTTAGATTTTTAATAACTTTTTCCAATATTTTTAGAAAAACCAAAACGTAATTTTTGTATTACGGTTAACGACTGTAGTCAATTTTATTTGTTTATACAGAAGTTAGAAGATACTGAGAGGTAAGCACATATCATCGGTAAGAGACGTGTGTGTGCCAATTATACAATGGTGGACCTATGGTCTACGGATGTATTTGGCTAATGACATTTGAGTTTCGAATCCGTTTCCCTCCCTAGTGTTTTTTCGAAAGCGTTCTCTAATAGGGTTAACTACCCCATTTTCGGCCTATTAAGCATAACCCGCACTTAGTCCTTCTTTATCTAGCGCAGTTTAGCACCAAACGGAATGTTATTATTACTGATGGCTTCTGAATTTATTTACCTTTCCGTATGTACCGTCAGATTTGATAAAGATAAACCAATCGTTGAGATATTGTCAAAAATCTAACACTGCTTCTTGACGCCAAACTCGGCCTACGGATTCTAAGCTCGGCCTAGCGCGTTGAAACCAACAATCAATACGAAACTAACGATTTTAAATTGGCTCACTACTTGACTAGCCTATTGGTCCCAAGCAAACGATTAAAGTACCCCATTCTAGTCGAAATTCTAGTACTACGCAATATTTGTTTTGATTCGCTATGAAAGTTTGACAGGTAAAATCAGGGGTCATTGGTTTTTCCTATGTTTCGAGGGGTGAATCGATTAGCTTGGGACCGAAGAGAGTACCAGAGCTGAGCCAAAAAGTTAAGCACGTTATTTCGGAACCTTCTAGTCTTAGAGTTACCTCTATGTTGAAACGCCATTAAAAAGCCAATGAATTCACTTCGGTCTATCGGATGAAGATAAAAATTGATTCGATCGGAGCGCTTCTTTTTTTTTTTTGGAAATAATGGGTGCAAACCTTCATATCACGCGTCCTCATTGACTTCGTTCGGTAGCTTATTAACTAAAGTATCGTACCAAATGGATAATTGACTTGTTAACTCTGAAATAATGGATTTATTTGAAGTTTTCTGCTCGATAGGCCCAAAACGGGCGATTAGGCCGAAGTAGTTCTCTACCCTACACACAGGGGGTAAGTCACTCTGCCACCTTGTACCTGTGTTGATTGTGTTTCATGTGTGTTTTTTGGTGTCGGAAAGTGTTTCTGCGTGTTTCTGCCAAGGGGGGGGGGATAGGTGGCTGTCAAATACGAACAGTCGTCGCCTACCTCGCATAACTGGTTCCAAACGTAAACAAGCCATAAGAAACCAACAGGGTTTGTTTACGTTTGGAACCAATTTCATACAGGAATGATCAGTAGGCTGATTTGACAGCACGTCCCACCCCAGGTTTCTGCATGTTGACCTACCTGTCAAAACGTTGAGCGAAAATCGATGATTACTGGCAACCATTACATCCACATTTGTATACAAACAGAATCCTTTTTTTTTGCTGTCGCCAAAAATTTACCAATTTTATAATGCACAGTGTACGCGTGGAATCCCAGTAAATAGCACACGTCAACGTAAACAACTTACAAGAATTCAAATCCTCATCCCTGATCGTCATCCGCATCACCTATCTAAGGCTGTGAACCATTTGCCGAGTTAAATTTAACTCGTGGTTAAAAGTGACATTTCGAAAGTTATTCTTGATGTTCGAAAATCCCTGTGCCGTCGATCGACCGGTTTTCATGAAGAACTCAGCCACGGTTGTCAACATTTAACTTCTTGTCTGTCAGAAATAACCACGCTCGGATAGCAGGGTTAATCGATAACTTTCCATCTGTCAAATTTTAACCAAAAGTTAAAATAATCCACCAAATGGTTCAGAGCCTAAAAGAGTGTACTGTATATGTCCGACTCTGATCTCAAAAAGTACTCTCTCAGCAGTCAAATTCTCATGCTTGAGATCCTGGCTTAAACCATTAAAGCCCTCTCAAATCCATCACAAACAAATTCCAGTCGCAATCAAACCCGGATAACCCAGCCGAGCAAGAAGGGGTCTAAGGCTGTGAACCATTTGCCGAGTTGAATTTAACTCGTGGTTAAAAGTGACATTTCGAAAGTTATTTTCTATGTTCGAAACTCCCTGTGCTGTCGATCGACCGGTTTTCAAGAAGAACTTAGCCAAGGTTGTCAAAATTTAACTTCTTGTCTGTCAGAAGTAACCACGCTCGCATAGCATGGTTAATCAATAACTTTCCATCTGTCTAATTTTAACCAAAATTTAAAATAATCCACCAAATGGTTCAGAGCCTAAGCAATCTCTGGATCTAAATTTCGCAAAGAATACAAACTTTTTTGTACGCCGCAGCTAGTAGGTTGGATCTCTCTGATTTGGCATTGTGTATATGGAATGACTACCAAATGAAAGAAATATCTCTCTTCAGCTATCAGTCAATAATTGACGTGATAATTATTATCCGATCCTTCATTCATACACAGTTGCAGATATTCTAGCTTGTTCTAGATGCTAAATTGTCTGTTTTTTAATGTCCCAATTGCGGGCATGAGTGTTACTTCCATGTCCCGATCAATTTTCTGTGGAATCCTCGGTGGAATCCTCGGTGGAATTCTCGGTGGAATCCTCGGTGGAATTCTCGGTGGAATCCTCGGTGGAATCCTACCGATTGCTGGAGGGAGATGTCTCCTTCAGAAAAAATCAACAAAAACAAAAAAGGGCATCAAACGAATGTAAACATTCTTGACTCTAGGCAGTGTTGCCAAAAAAGATTCAAAAATTGGTTCTCATGGTGGTTGAAGGGTGTTTCAGTGTGTCGAATAGTTTACTTGATGTGTTTAACACAAGGTGCCAGAGTGACTTACCCCTTGTGTTTGACGCTTCTTAAGTGTGCTTATTTCCGGCGGTCCATTAGTGTTCTGAGCAGTTTCACGCCAACTGACAAATTTATTTTATTTTTCCCTCTTGTTCGCTAGGGACAATGAACCAAGTTTGTACTGAAATTC